ATATAAGGATATTGACTTAAAACAAGTTGGGGCTCACCACCTTCAATTTCGAGAAAATGATAGTTGTATCTCAGTGGATAGTGGCCATATTGGCAGTGTTATATCGTTTTTACCATAGGTTCTATGGGTGAGATATTAAGCCATATCTCAAATTGTAACCTGGTGAGATGGATTGAACAAGTAATATATTGTTAATGATGGAGTAGTTTTTTATTGTTCTAGGTTTTAAAAAGTGTCAAAACTCTAATTTTCTTTAACATTGTGATCAATGGAATTATTCCGAAAATAGCGATTGCTGGAAAAATATTAAGACTAATTTCTCAAAATACGTCACTGAGACAACAGCTTCATGATTTTACACAATAAACCATTGAACATTGTCATGCGAGTAGGCTTCTACCCTAAGGCAATTATCATCCTATTTTTCAAGAGCAATTTTAAGAGTGTCTGTATCGTTGCTGAGAGTAAAAACATTAAATCATTAACTCGTATTTATTGCCCAATTCCATGACGTCACCATAGATTAGAGTCGTCGAAAATCGTTTCTACGTGATGATGCTATGCATTATATATACTCGCAAATTGTTTGTTACGAAGCGATTGCGGCAGATTTCAATTTTCAACTTTGTAAAAGGAAGTGAAAAGTAATCAATATCTACCATGTATAAGTTACAAATTCACAACTCTCAGATTCATCAGTGCATCAGTCTCTGCATGCACTTCTTTCTCGATGGCCGACTGGTATCCATTTAACTCGATGGCCGACTGGTATCCATTTAACTCAATGGCTGATTGGTTTCCATTTAACTCGATGGCCAACTGGTATCCATTTAACTCAATGGCTGACTGGTTTCCATTTAACTCGATGGCCAACTGGTATCCATTTGAATCGATGGCCGACTGGTATCCATTCGACTTGATGGCCGTCTGGTATCCATTTAACTCGATGGCCAATTGGTATCCATTTGACTCAATGGCCGACTAGTATCCATTTAACTCGATGCCGATTGGTTTCTATTTAACTCAATGGCCGACTGGTTTCTATTTAACTCAATGGCCGACTGGTATCCATTCGATTTGATGGCCGACTGGTATCCATTTAACTCGATGACCGACCGGTATCCATTTGACTCAATGGCCGACTGGTATCTATTTAACTCGATGGCTGACTGGTTTCTATTTAACTCGATACCGACTGGTTTCTATTTAACTCAATGGCCGACTGGTTTCCATTTAACTCGGTGGCAGACTGGTCGAGTAGTGGCCATTTTAAAATGTATTCAGAACAAGATAAAGTGGGCATTTAACTCGATGGCCAACTAGTGACGATTTTACTTGATGACTGACAAGTGGCCATTTTACTCGATTGATGACTGGCGTCCATTTCAGCCAATGGCCGACTATTGTCCATTTCACTCAATGGCCGACTGGTGACCATTTCACTCAATGGCCGACTGGTGTCCATTTCACTCAATGGTCGACTAATGTCAATTTCAGTCAATGGCCGATTGGTGTCCATTTCACTCAATGGCCGACTGGTGTCTATTTCACTCAATGGCCGGCCGGTGTCCATTTCACTTAATGGCCGACTGGTGTCCATTTCACTCAATGGCCGACTGGTGTCCATTTCACTCAATGGCCGACTGGTGTCCATTTCACTCAATGGCCGACTGGTGTTCATTTCACTCAGTGACCGACTGGTGTCCATTTCACTCAATGGCCGACTTGTGTTCATTTCACTCAATGGTCGACGGGTGGGCATTTGACTCGTGGTCGAGTAACGGCCATTTTAAAATATATTCAGAACCAGGTAAAGTGGGCATTTTACTTGATAGCCGACTAGTGCTCATTTTCGTCGATGGTCGACTAGTACCCATTTCACTTAATGGCAGACTAGTGCCCATTTTACTCGATGGCCGAATAGTACCCATTATACTCTATGGCCGACTAGTGCCCATTTCACTTGATGGCCGACTAGTGCCCATTTCACTTGATGGCCATGTCCATGGCCGACGAGTGTTTATTCAAATCACTGGCCGAGTAGTGGAAATTTTAAAATGCACCCAAAACCAGGTAAAGTGGCCCATTAACAATGAGATAAATAGATAAATGTGAGTACTTTTTGTGCAAGAAATGTTGATAGCCCTTGTAAAACAGTAAAATTGTGTCATTTAATTTAACGTAGTAAACTATGCAATGATAACGTCTTGTTTATCTAATTCCTCTTCTTTTATTCTTCTTCCAATATCTGATGGTGAATGGCTTCCTCTCCTTATGTCATAACGGTGACGCCACCTTGGAGTTCGGCGATGCCGTCACTCTTATACAGCTATTGCTTGGAACGTCTAGCTAGTTTTAATAGCTTAACCTAGTTCAACGATTACTAAATTGTATTTACTATATTCATATTTATCGGTTATTTATTACAGTCACAGTCTGGCGGTGTCGTCAACCTACAATTTGACGGTGACCGACAAAGCGCTCCCAGTGTCTTGTTAACATTCCTCCTCACGTGTATATTCATATCCGATTTCTCTTCCTGAATCTCCGTGACGTTAAAATCCACTTTATATGTAAATGCAATAAACAACAACACGCGGAAAATTAGATTAATCTGAGCAGTGACGTCTTCACGCATGTATATTACTCTGTGACGTCATATCCGATAATTTACTGCAGTCAGTATATCGTGTGTGTGGACAAGCGTATCAGTCAATTAACAACCGTTCGTATTCATTTTTATATCGCTTGGCCACTTTTGAAAAACAAAACAAAAACAATGAAACGTAACTACATCCAACTCGAATCGTAGTAACTTTGCTATGGGTTTCAAGTTCTGCAAGAAAATATGACAACGTCTACTTTTCTTTAACATTTGGACACTAGTGGTCGTATTCACTCCAGGACATGTCAGGACACCAAGTGACCGTAACCACTCCTTATTTGGGCACTGGTGGGTAAATCCTTAAATAAAAATATTCAACTGTAACATGACGTGCTCCACACACTAATATTCCTTACTGAACTTATTATAAGTTTCAAACATTAGATGAAAAGAACAACACAACAATTAAACTGAAATAATCCGATGTATTTATAACGAGCTTACAATTAATACATTTACATTATCTCTTTAATAACTGATATTATAATCCATGTGAGACGTCTTCCGAGGAATGTGA